TCGGCTTTGTTTGGGCAAAGTTATGCGGGGCACTTGTCGGCTTTGTTTGGGCAAAGTTTTATCCACAGAACCATCCGGCCGAGTTTTATACTGAAACTTTCCGTCTAAAAGTCCTTCCTTGGTGTTATCCATACTTCTTTGCACGTTGAACACACGTCGGCCACAACAGGAAATAAAAAAAACTGCAACCGCGTTAATTGCGTTAATTTTTTTTAACTCGTTAAATATTTCAAATTAATCGCATGCGTTAACGCGCTAATTTTGACAGCACTAATTTTAACTTATAAAAAACTAGGCTATGCATAATTCTTTGTAGTACTATATCTTTATATATGCATACATCATTATGTGTGCCCTTGTGTTACCTGTGGTTTGATCACCTGTGGGGATGCACCTCACTGTATGATTGCGGGACATCTGACTGACAGCATTAGCCACAGTGCAGGTGATGGTGACATTTCCCTCTGCTGGTGAAAGATAGAAATGCAGCCTGGAGCTGCTCCCTGTCTGATCCCTCATCCTCCAGGTGTAAGAGGGTCTTAGGCCTCCTGATGAGCTGCACACCAAACGCACTGCACAGGTGTGGTTCTCTGGATCCCAGGTGTATTCTGACTGTATCCACACTGATGTTATGGACTCTAATGAATAAGTACAGTAAAATGATGCTGTCAATATTTATACAGGTAATAACTTGATTGCAGGTCAGTGCAGTGGCTCAGTGGGCAGCACAGTGACCTCGGGCCTCCAGGATTGTAGGATGTTACATGTGATTCTACCAGACACTCTGCCTTCCTTCCTCAGTATAAACTGGCATCACTAAGCTACCCTCAGTATTTTACTGTAGGTGTGTCCTGTGTGATGAACTCGCCTCCCAACCAGTGTGTCCCTTCACTTAGGCTGCTCTGTGTCACCTCACTGCAGATGAGCAGTTATGGAAAATGGAAGGTTGGATAATGTGATTTTTCTCATAAACTTCACAACATCCATCCTAACTGCTTATCCTGGTCGGGGTCACAGGGGGCTTGAGCCTAACTATGCAGCACTGGGTACAAGGCTGGGGGTACGTGAGCTTTACAACAATACAGATATAATTACAAGCACACCACTGAGCACTTCTCTAAGATGGGTAAATATATAATTGTTTGAATAGTCATATAATAATGTTTAGTATACAGGAATACCTATACTGCTTCCTTCATGTACATGCATGTGAAATATCTTACCATTAACCTGCAGCTGGATTTTATATGAGGGAATCTGTGAGCCATCTTCCTTCATTCCTTCACGCTCATACTCCCCACTGTCCTCCAGTCTCAGCTCCTTCACTGTTAGATTGAAGTCAGGGCTCAGCTGCAGTCGTCCTTTGAACTGAGCATGAAGATTTTCTTTTG